CCTACGTGCGTTGGCGCCTTAGCTACCACATGGTGGACTGGCAGCTCAGGATACATGAAAAACAGGGTCTCAGAGTGTGGGAAGGAAGCCAAAAGAAAACAGATGGGAAGGTGAGTAATTAAATCAACACATCCCAAGCAGCTGAGAGAGAAGGATGCTTTGCAAAGCCTGTATGGCAAAGAATGAAGTTGGAACTCATAGAAGGGCCAGGCATTTCCAATCAAGTGTCCACGGAGCTGTCTGGAATATAAACACAAATCAAAATAAAACACACACACACATTCTCTCTCTCTCTCTCCACACACATACATACATACACATGCACACACTCTTTTGTTTCATTTTTCTGAAATTATCATTTCTTTTTCAGATATAATTCTTCAAAAACAGCCCAGCCCAGAATTACAGATTTAAGTGCTTTCTACAGGGGCCAGCTCTGCCCCAGGTCGAGGGTCAGCTTGCCTGTGTTTCAGAACTGGCATGCTAAGTCTTCCTATATTTTAAACAGATAACCTCCTCATCATCTGAAAGGACTCAGAAAGAAGGTGGGCTGTGTCCCTTTAAAATATATATATATATGGCATTATGTTTGCTGCTGCCCCAGTTGTTGAGAGAAAAAGAAATCATGTATCTTTAAATGATGAGGTGCTGAATAAGGAGGCTTGGGCAGCAAAAAGGCTAATACACTGTGGAAGGGAAGGGGTTTAATCTAATTTAGTTGGAGGGTGTCTGTCTGCAGTGTTGTTTTTTGGAGTGTGGGAATAGAGGAGGGAAGCTGCCCCCTTGAATGGTCCCTCCTGCGCCAGAAGCAGTAGGGAGCCCATCTACGCCAGTGATCCAAAGCCCAGCCTTGAAAGAGGATTAAAGGAACGCTCTGATTTGCAATTCACACTAATGCACCCCACGGAACCTTTGGTAATATTTCAAACCACATTTCAAGAGAAGTGGCCTTAAAATAGCAGCCCAAATTGTACTGAAGCAACATTGGACACCCCACTCCCCCATTTTAGGATGCGGGTGCTTTTTTGTCTGTTTCTCACCTCCCTTCCCCCCCTCCTGACATCGTACAACCAGTGTTTTGAGGTGTAATTAAAACTTTTGTGTCTGTTGAATTTGCCGCAACTTGCATTGCCTTTCTGGTGGCGCAAACTGTTTTCTTTGCTTTGAGTCCCTTCAGATGAAGAAAGGTGTTTTCCATGGGGGTGGAGTGAGGGAGCCGACCTACTTGGTTAGAAAATAGAATTTTCCTTGCACGCTTTATATCTGATAAGAAGTTTCTGAAGAAACTTAATACAAGATGAGGTCAGAGAAAATAATGCTTATCCATGTCAGACTCCTGCACGCCAAGCAATTATTAGTAAACGGATCAGTTTTCATTCTTACTTGAAGGGAGAATTGGAAAAGTCCCTCACTAAATATAAATATGGATGACATTAGAGGATGAGAGGAGAAACACAGGAATCGTTTCACTGGATCATCAAACTTGAATGTGCCAAGAGAGATCATTCAAGTGGGAGACACTGAAAAAGGCAACAAGAGAGCCTGAACCACTTTCTATCTTAAAATTCACCACCATGATTTTATTTCTTTGCAAGCTTCGCTCATATTCCACAAGTTTATTCTTGCAATTAGCTTGTAACGTGCTAAGCTTATGGTTTAATTTCTTTTTATTGCTGAAAGTCTCAGTACTTTTTTTTTTTTATCTTAAAGAGATTATTTGGGTTTTCTCTAATCCCATTTCAGAAACCCTTGCACAGGGCTCACAATTTCCATTTACTATCACATAATAAGAAAAGATACAACTTTGATTTTCAGCAACATCCGTGTCAAAGCACTTTATACTTTTGAGTCTGTGAGTTTAAATGGAATGAAACTGGGCCTGTCTTTCGATTTCCTTCCACTTCCAAAAATACTTAGTTCTTGTTCAAAACGCTGCCTGACTCCTGAAATATTCTCTTTCAAAACCCTTATACTTTCCCCAGCTAACATTTGCAAAAACTTGAAGGTAGATAATGTTTGGGGGTAGCTCTCCAATATACACATATATATTTATTTTTTTTTAGGTGGTTGGGGTAAAAAAATATTCCTTGTCTTTGCCTGTTATGTGAAATCATGTTTAATTATAAAGTTTCATTAAAAACCTTTGCTCAAAATTTTAGAGGCCTAATAAGATTTCCATTAATTTAAACATATCACTATTCCCACGACAGCTCCAATGCTTTCTTTTTCCTCTTTCATCCATGGTTAAATATGTAAATAAAATGTCTAAAGTCATTCTTCAAAGAAGACAAAAGAAAAAAGAGCTGAGGGAAAGACAGCCATAAAATTCCTCCCAATTCTCCATAACATTTGCCAGAGGGGGGCCGGTTTCGAGCCAGGGCTGAGCAGCGGGGGACCGCTGCTCCTTAGAATCACACATCTCAAATCCCACACACAGGAAAGAAAAAATAAAATAAAATATCTTTTCAGTTGGAGCCATCAAAAGACCCTTTTCATTTATTAGTTACAAAGTTATCTTCCAGTTGCTGATTTCTCAGAACCCTCATTTTTCTATAATAATGTCTATTTGTTGGTTTCCATCTCAGCTGGACAGAGCGAAGCACTTCTGCAGACATTTTTATAAAAAGAAAGAGAAGAATGCAATCTGAAGTGGTTATAGCTAAAATAATGGGTCTGAACAGGGCTGAATTAAAATAGCACATAAAAGATCAATTAGGAAACACTTTCTCCAATAGCTCACTCCCAACTCCTGGTGCTTGGCGCTCTCTCTTACCCTCTTACTAAATATTTCCAATAGTTTCTGAGGGAGAAAAACAAAAAAGAAGAAAAATGGTGCCTATGAAGGACCTTGGCAAGACAAATTCTAGAAAAGCCAAGTGATGTCTGCTGAATGTTTAACTTAAAGATTTTGCAAATGTCATTAGATTAATTTTTAAAAATCTCTATCATAATAAAAATGGCAGTCCTTTTTTAAAAAAGCATGCGATTTTCATTCGAGGAATAAACACACAGTTGAAGGGGGTTCTGACAGCATTAGCTTCCACTTTTTTCCACTTTTGCTGGCACCCCAACTTCCCCTAACATCTCCCCATAGGATGCAGGGTACCCAAGACAGGGCCTGGGGGTGAATGCATGAACTTGCCTATTACTTCTGGGATGGGGAAAGTCCCAGCTTATAAGCCTGATGAACGCATGAATGAATGAGAGCGTGAGGTCGCCCAAGTTTCTTACAGTTGTACAATTGTACGACGTGTTTTAATTAAAAGCCCATAGTTTCAGAGGAGGCGCTCCGCTTCTGCCACGGCTGGCAGAAAGCTTGTCAGGGTAGGGGAGGTGCCTGGCGGTCTCCTTCCCCTTCCTGGGCTCTTCCTAGAGAGAGTTGGCGACGTAAGCAGCGTCCCCCACTGCGGGGGACTGGTGCAGCTGCTTCCAGGCCCGGTGGAGAGTGACCAGCCAAAGAAGGCCCCAGCACGTTCGCAGGGATGTGCTCACTTCGGCGGGAAGGAGGGGAAAAGCGGCCGGCGTCCCAGGCCTCTACTACTCCACTAACCTCTCCTCCTCCAGCAGTGGAGGCCCCCAACTGCTCCCTGGGGAGCCAACCGCAGATTGAATATGCTATCCTGGGAGTTTCAGAAAAACTTAAAAAGAACCTGACCTCGAGGGCGTCTGGGAGGAGGCCACCTCCTAGGAGCGCTGTTTATGTAAGCGTTAAATCGGAGTGCAAGGGGAGGCACCTGACATATTCCTGGGAAAGCCGAGGCATGGGGTAGGTGCCCACCGCGCACTTCCAGTGCGGAGCGAGGAAAGGGAATAAGTGACCTAATCACGGCCTGGGCCGAATCCGAGGGGAGTGAACTCAGAGGATGAGGGCAAGACGCTTCTTCTCCGCTTTCTATGAAAATCGAGTGGCGTGCGCCTCCGCCTCTCCGCCAGAGCTGGGGTCGCTCGGCCCAAGCTGACGCAGCGTTCTCCCACGTCCCACCCCTACCGCGCCCGATCTCCGCATCCTTTTAACCCGGCTGTAGCCAAGGAGGGCGCTGGCCGGGCAAAACACTTGCCAAATAATATAAATACCCGACGAGCGAATGACTTCCTATAATAAATAAACTCAGCCGCCTAGAAGGAGTCACCAGCCCTGTCTGGCGTGAGGTCCCACGACTCTACGGATTTGGAAGGGGCGGGGGTCACCGCGACGCAGCCAAGCTATCCTCCCCGCGGGGAGGGGGGTGTTAACAGTCCCAGGAAGCCTGCCGCCCAACCCCTCTCCCTGCCTCCTTAGAGTAGACCTCGGAAGAGCGGCCCTAAAATCTGGGCTCCCAGAGCCCCTCCTCCTCCCCACAGCGTGTCTCTTTGAAATTTCAAAGAAAACCCCTGCCCGGAGCCTGGGGCTGGTAACTCCCCAGCCCCGGGAAGATGCCGGCAGGTTTACAAGCTAAGGGGCCACTTTATGGCCACGGCCATAAAACGCAAATCCCACCTCCCTTTGAAAGCGCCCTCTGCCCCGACCTACCATAAAAATAAGAGAAGATGCGCCCCCAGCCCCCTGCCACGGACCACCTCCACCCTCTTCTCCCGCCAGTCTCCGAACTTTCCGTAACCTCGGCGTCCTTGGGGTGCTGGGGACAACCCCGGGGGTCCCCCAGGAAAGGGGACGCAGGCAGAAAAGGCAGCGGGAGGCAAAGTTGGAGGTCTGGCAGAGTGGGAGAAGAGCCGGGTGGGACACCCCGGAGGGTAGAGTCCCTTACGCTAGGAGGGGAATCCGGGGCCTGGCGGGAGACTGGGCCTGGACGCGGCTCTGCGCCCCCCGCGGGCTAGGCGGCGGGCAGTGGGCTCGGCCCCCGCTGGGCCCAGGAGCCGCCGGCGGGGCGGCGGGGCGGAGGCTGCCCGGGGCCGCTCTGCTTTCTCATGCAAAGCAGCGGCGGAGGCGGGGCGGGCGGCCCGGGGGCGGGGCCTGTCACAGCTCGGCTTTTTTCCCCCCCTCTTTGCCTTTTTGAGAGTCTTCTCATCCCGGGACGCAAACCTCGGAACAGCTGCCGGCTGGGCCTGGCGGAGGCCGGCGCAGGGAGGGAGGAGCCGCCGGGGCCGCGGGGGCGCTGAGAACTGGCCCCGCAACCGTGCGCTCGCGCCGCCGGCCCTCTCCCGGCGCGCCACCTGGGCGCTCCAAGAAGAGGCCAAAGTTTACCGTGGCAGTGAGTTGAAGCCCGCGCTGGGCTGCTGCACCGAGAGCTCCGGGAGCTTCTCTCGCTTCCCGGTATTGTTTGCAAACTTTGCTTCGCTACCCGGCGACCCCCAACTCGGCGGCAGCCGGGCGCAGACCGCAGAGCCGGGGACGCTGTGCGCAGCCCTCGGGCCAGGCTGGGCGGGCATGGGCGGGGGCCCGAGCAGCGGTGGACAGCGGGGTCCAGCAACCCGTGCCCGAGAGCGGCGGCTCTGAGGGGCGCGGACCTCCCTGCGAGGGCACTCCCGACGCCACCATGCAGGGCCCGGGTCCCCGCCTGTGGCTGGTCCTGCAGGTGGTGGGTTCGTGCGCCGCCATCAGCTCCATGGACATGGAGCGTCCAGGAGACAGCAAGTGCCAGCCCATCGAGATCCCGATGTGCAAGGACATTGGCTACAACATGACTCGCATGCCCAACCTGATGGGCCACGGGAACCAGCGCGAAGCCGCCATCCAGCTGCACGAGTTCGCGCCGCTCGTGGAGTACGGCTGCCACGGCCACCTCCGCTTCTTCCTGTGCTCCCTGTACGCGCCCATGTGCACCGAGCAAGTCTCCACCCCCATCCCCGCCTGCCGGGTCATGTGCGAGCAGGCCCGGCTCAAGTGCTCACCCATCATGGAGCAGTTCAACTTCAAGTGGCCCGACTCCCTAGACTGCAGCAAACTTCCCAACAAGAATGACCCCAACTACCTGTGCATGGAGGCGCCAAACAACGGCTCTGACGAGCCCACGCGGGGCTCGGGCATGTTCCCGCCGCTCTTCAGGCCACAGCGGCCTCATGGCGCTCAGGAGCACCAGCTGAAGGACGGGGGACCCGGGCGCAGCGGCTGCGACAACCCCGGCAAGTTCCACCACGTGGAGAAGAGCGCGTCCTGCGCGCCGCTCTGCACGCCAGGCGTGGACGTGTACTGGAGCCGCGACGACAAGCGCTTCGCCGTGGTCTGGCTGGCCATCTGGTCTGTGCTGTGCTTCTTCTCCAGCGCCTTCACCATGCTCACCTTCCTCATTGACCCGGCCCGCTTCCGGTACCCAGAGCGCCCCATCATCTTCCTCTCCATGTGCTACTGCGTCTACTCGGTGGGCTACATCATCCGCCTGTTCGCCGGCGCCGAGAGCATCGCTTGCGACCGCGACAGCGGGCAGCTCTACGTCATCCAGGAGGGGCTGGAGAGCACGGGCTGCACCCTGGTCTTCCTGGTGCTCTACTACTTCGGGATGGCCAGCTCGCTGTGGTGGGTGGTCCTCACCCTCACCTGGTTCCTGGCCGCAGGCAAGAAGTGGGGCCACGAGGCCATCGAAGCCAACAGCAGCTACTTCCACCTGGCAGCCTGGGCCATCCCCGCGGTGAAGACCATCCTCATCCTGGTGCTGCGCCGGGTGGCGGGCGACGAGCTCACCGGCGTCTGCTACGTGGGCAGCATGGACGTGAACGCGCTCACTGGCTTCGTCCTTGTCCCGCTGGCCTGCTACCTCGCCGTGGGCACCTCCTTCCTCCTCTCGGGCTTCGTGGCGCTTTTCCACATCCGGAGGGTGATGAAGACGGGCGGAGAGAACACGGACAAGCTGGAGAAGCTTATGGTGAGGATCGGGGTCTTCTCGGTCCTCTACACCGTGCCGGCCACCTGTGTGATCGCCTGTTACTTTTATGAACGCCTCAACATGGATTATTGGAAGGTCCTGGCGGCGCAGCACAAGTGCAAAATGAACAACCAGACGAAAAACCTGGATTGCCTGATGGCCGCCTCCATCCCCGCTGTGGAGATCTTCATGGTGAAGATCTTCATGCTCCTGGTGGTGGGCATCACCAGCGGGGTGTGGATCTGGACTTCCAAAACGCTGCAGTCCTGGCAGAATGTTTGCAGCCGCAGATTGAAAAAGAACAGCCGGAGGAAGCCTGCCAGCGTGATCACCAGCAGTGGGATTTACAAAAAAGCCCAGCATCCCCAAAAACCTCACCTGGGGAAGTATGAAATCCCCGCCCAGCCTCCCACTTGTGTGTGAACCGGGCTCGCAGCGAAGGAGATAGGGCAGTGGGAGCTGAAACACGGTGCTTTTCGGGGTTGGTTGGTCGATTTTTTTATATAAAGGAAAAAGAAATAAAAAGTGTTTACCCTGAAATTCAGGATGCTGTGATACACTGAGAGTGAAAATATGTACTGAAAGGGTTTGGTTTTGTTTTTGCTGTTTTCCAGAGAAGAGAAGCTCCCGGGTTCAGTAGCTTCTTGTGTAATCCATTTGTGGTAAAGTAATTGATTGGGCCCTGGAAAGAAAACTTTGATTTAGAAGCTTCCATAAATATACGTCTGTGTATATTGGAGTTGGCTTTGCTACTACCATTTACAAACAAGGGGACAGATAACTTCTTTGCGAATTAAAGAGCCTCCAGTGGGTTAGCAAATGAGCTATGGGGAGGGGGGGCTCAGGAAGGCTGCTCTGTGGGAGGCGGCTTCTGTGCAGACAGAAAGAAAGGGGATCCTGGGGCCATCACACTCCAGTGGATTCAGAGTCACTTACAACAGCCTCCAGCCTCTAGTCTTCACAAATAGTCTTTCTCTGAGACAGAACCCTCCACCAAACCTAACATTGGTGAACTCAAACAATGTGCAATACATTCCCCCCCCTTCCATGAAAATAAAAAGAAAAACAAGTATTTTGCTTTATATAAAGACAACAAAAGAAATCTCCTAACAAAAGGACTAAGAGAGCCAGCCCTCAGAAACCCTTTAGTACTACATTTTGTGGCTTTTTAATGGAAACCGAGCCAATGCTATACACATTTGGACTGATTTGTGGAAAGGAAAGGGGAGAAGAGGAGAAGGATCTTTCAAAAGTACCCAAAGGGCTTATTGACTCTTTCCATTGTGAGACAAATGATTTCCATGAACCCATCCAGAAGCACTAGGTCAGCAAAGACAAACTCTGTGTCATGTATTCTCTCTTACAAGACCAGGAAAGAATGGCTTCTCCTTGTATATATTTGTAATATACAATATTTTTCATGCTCCACTATTTTATTAAAAATAAAATATGTTCTTTAGTTTGCTGCTAGCCCCTTGTGTGTTGCCAGGTTGCCTTCTCTCTGCTTTCTGAACAAACTCTGGGTGTGCACCTCTAGCTGGAACTTGCTGATTCTCTATACAAACTGCAGAGAGGTGGGTTCTAAGGCTGGCAGAATAATTCCTCTGTGAGTTTCAGAGGAGTTACATGCAGGTCATATATAAAGTTGGAAAAACTTTCTGTGACTCTTAGTAGGTGGATGTGAGGCTCAGTCCTAGACAGGTCATCAAAGAGAGACTTGGCTATTAAGTGTGACTACACTCAGAGACTTGGATTAGCCTCTTTTAATATCTTGGGAGAGTAGAGCCAATTGATTAAGAGAATTAAGTCAGTAGTGTTCAGCTGATCTGCTGGGGTCGCACTGTACCTAGACAGAGCTCTGGATATCAGCCCAGAGCATACCGGCTTTACAGTAATGCTGGTCCACAGGGACATGTTTATAAGACAGATTTTAGGTGTGGACAGGAGGCCGTAGCTGCTAAGTGTGGTGAGTCAGGAAGGGAAGACCAGCGCTTTGGTGCCTTACAGTGCTCAGCTCTTCCCCAGTGTTTGCTCAGGTCATCGGGTCAAACGAACAGCCAGGGCACAGTCCAGTCCCACAGTAATGGGGAGCCTCCAGGACAAGCCACACTACCCAAGGGTCATGGTTTTGTCGAGCTCCAAGGAGAAACTTCAGAGCCTTGAGTATTTACTGAGCACTTGCTCCAGAAGGGCTGGTTTTCTGAAGAGGAGATTTAGGAAGTAAAGGAGGAGGACATAAGACACCCGCACTTCAGCACCAGGGTGGGGTGCAGCATAGGTTGGTTCTTCTGGGTTGCTTCACGTAGGCTCTGCCCACAGGAGCAAGGAGAATGGTGGTTTAAGGTCGAGTTCTAGAAACCAAAATACCAGCTATGGAGGTGAAGCAAGTTACTGTAAAATCCAGAGTAGCTTTCCATGCATTGAAAAAGAATGCAACTGGGTTTTAAAAATGCCCACAAACAAAAATCTATTTGTGGATTGCTTTCACCCAGTCCCTAAAAAGGCTATACAGCAATATTTATGTGTGTGTACATGTGTATATATTATGTGACTTTTAAGGAAAATGGAAATAACATGTTTAGAGCTTTTGAAAAGCCCAGAGAGGAAACACTGCCAGGCGCTGTTAGGAGGATCAAGGCCAGATGCAGCTCCAAAGACATTTGGTTCTAAAATCTCTGGACTTATTACCTACTTTTGAGCTGCCTGTATTCGGGTATTAAGACTTTAAAATTTCGTCTGAAGGAAAGACAAGTTCAACACACCAGAGCCTTTGCTGTTGTTTAGCCCTAAATGTGCTTCCCTGGGCATCCCTGATCTTGTTAACAAATACCAAGGGATGTAACATGGAGCAGGGCCCGGTGCAGTGGGCAGGGGGGCTGCACAGTGATCAGTCAGTGCAGTGGGCACTGATCACTGTGCAGCCCCAGCTGAAGGGCTTCCACACTTCCTGCTTCCAGATCTCTCCCAACACCTCCTTCCTGAACTGAAATCTGACCCTAGGTCACATACAGTGAATTTTAAAAGAAGCATCAAGCCTTAAAATTTAGAAATCTCCAGGGGGTGAGAGGGATGAGAGGTGAAAAATAAATAAACAATCAGCACAGTACAATGCCTTATATTCTCTTCAGCTGAGGCAGGGTTTCCAAAGGAATAGTGGCTCCCTAGCCTTCATTGCATTTCCCGTGGCCTAAGTCTCAAGAAAATGGCCACCTGTTTGGGGTGGCAGGTCTGAGTGGTGAAGTCATAGCTAGAAGAAGCCCAAAGAAGGCGATTGTCCAAGGTCACTCTCCTTCCACACACATTTATTTCTTCCTCCCTTCATCCAGCATTCAGCCACACACCAAGGGCCTCTGTGCTTGTGGACTGGAGACACAGAAGTGGCCTGAGTCTTCGGCTCTGAGGAGATAACTGCCTGGAGACCCTCGTAGCCCATCTTGTATGTATTTCTGTTATGTGGAGGGGGAGTGCCCCAAGGTAGAAGCATCTGCGCTGTGGCTATAAATCCATACCAAGCAGAAGGGTCGACTTGCTAATTTCATGGCAAGGTGAGATGCACAGTCACGTGTCAGTGAAAGTTAGGAACAAGGGATAGAAAGCTCCCTGAGGACTAGGGGTGTCTGGCTAGCGGGCCCTGTGAGCACCTGTACCTAGCAGAGTGCCCTGATGTGGTGCTAACAACCATAATGACAGTAACAACAGCAATTCTCATTGAATTATCTCAGTGACCTATTCAGGCAGATGTTCTGATCAGCTACACTTTACATATGAAGACCCTGACACAAAGAGTTTAAGTCAGTCCTGGGGTCAGTCACACAGCAAGGGAAAGTTAGAGCCAGAATAGGAAACAGGTGGTCTGATGAAACGATAGATCCAAGACCACCAATTCAGCAAGCAATTATCAAATGAATGAATGAATGACATGAAGCTAAGCAGTTTATGGAAATTACTGTGCTGAGCACTTCATCCATATTCATTCCATCCTCTAGCAAACTTTGAGGGTACTATTCTTATCCCCATATTATAAACGAGGAATTTGGAGCACAGAGAAGTCAAGTCACTCACCCAAGGTCACACAGGCAGCCAGCAGTGCCTCCAAATCCAAACTTCTGACCTCTCTAGGTTCTCAGGACTTATGTGGATTAGATCATTCCATCTTCACAGCAGCACTGCCGTGCCCTTGCTCCAAGAAGAAGGTGCGCAAGGTCACTTGGCAAAGGGCAAAGGCAACTTTGTCAGCATGGGAGAGTGAAAGAGAGGAGGCTGGTACAGTCGGGAGGTTAACCACAGTGTGGATGCAGTGGATAGATTGAGAGGCGCCGAGGAGAGGAGCTGGAACCTTGATTTGATTTAACACAGAGAGGAGGCAAGAAGAAATGGTCAGAGAGGGCCACACTGTGTCCCACTTGGGTGACAAAGTGACATCCACCAAGACGAGAAAATAAACAGATGACAGGAGAAACATGTTGGTGGGGAAGGGAAGAAGATGCAGTATGAGGTATCTGGCTGATTCCCCAGATGGAGACCGTCACTCTGCAGCCTGGGCCATGGACAGATGAGCAGACTCTGCAGCCTGGGCCATGGACAGATGAGCAGACGTAGAGGAGGTGGTGTTCACAGCAGGTGTTTGAAAAGGTCAGAGTTGAAGCTGGAGGTGTTGACATCAGGTGGTGGGTGGATCTCTCCAGGAACAGAGGGAAGGGCCAGGTGGACTTAGAGGAGGCTGCAGAGGGAACCTGGTGCCTAGGAGTTGTCCCTCAGCCACTTGGGCTGCAGTTCCTCATTTTTATATAACAGAACTGATCCAAGGAGAGGATGTAAATGGTCTTGCCCAAAGTCAAAATATGTGCTCCAGGTAGAGACAACAGCCAAAGCAGCAAGGCCCTCACAGGGGAGTGTTGGAAGGTGCTCTCCTGATCCATCTGTGCTGGGGTATCAGCCTCTGTGTCTTTAACTTAACCCTTGGGACACCTGAATGCAATTAAAAGTAGCTCCTCAGGTAGATGTTTCCAAATCTCCCTCTAGCACCTTTGGGGATGCTGCTTCAAGTCAGAAAAACAAGAAAAACCAAGAACTATTTTTGAGGCGATAGATATTCTAGATTATCTTCTCAGAAAGAGAGGGGGAAACAACACACAGAAAAGCATAACAGATTAGAGTATAAACTGATATCTGTCATTAAAAGGATGCAGAGATATAATCCAGGACTGAACTATATCTTGCCTCTTTTAGGCCCTGGTTTCCACTTTGACTCAATCATTTGGATGGTGCTTTCCCTTGGAGGTACTAAAGCTTTCCTACCTTAGTTTCTTCATCCACAAAATGGGTATAATAATGGCACCTACCTCATAGGGCCATGACTCACTAATAGTTAATATGTATTGAACAACTATTACCTGCTTGATTGTTTTAAGTGTCCTGTATGTATTAATCCATCTGTTCCTCCCAACAGTCCAAAGAGATGTGGTATGAGATCAAATAAAATCCTATGTGTAAGTATGTGGAATCCTCTTTGGCATCGAGCAAATACTGAGTAAATGTGAGCTGTTTTTATGTTGAACCTTCCTCCTCTCAAGAAAGTTAAACCGGTCAAGCTAATGAGTACCAGTCTTTAAAGAAAATGAGGGTATTTTTTCTTACAGAAATACTTTTTCCAATACCATGTTCAGGTTCTGCAGAATACCCACCGATCTTTCAAGTTTAAAAGGCAGGCACGGTTCCTCTGCAGCTGTGAGAAACATTCTCTGTCTTTCCCTTTGAACACAATAACATCACAGCCGGCGTCCCGGGGTATCAGACCTCATGCGCGGACAGCTCCAAACGCAAATGGATGACGATGGCTGAAATATGGAAATGGGGCAAAGCGGTCGGACTTCAGGGAAGCTCTCGGAACAGCTTGGGCAACACAGTGCCGAGTGGTTTTTAATGTTTTATTAAGAGTGTGAAGGCCAAGCTGGAGGGAGGAGGGAAGGAGGTGTTTGAAATCTGCAAAGAATCGGTTCCAGTTGCTGAGGTGAGCTGCCATAATTGGGGACACTCCTAGGAACATGATTCTCCTGGATTCCGACACCACATCCACTGCCCATCAGACTTCTCAAAAGTCAGCACGTTTCGCTTCATTATTACAAGACCTTTTGGCAGGTTGTTTTCTTTTGGCTGGGGCCGGGTTTGAACTTGCCACCTCCAGAATATGGGGCCAATGCTCTACTCCTTCAAGCCACAGGCGCCACCCCCATTACAAGACTTTTTGAATGTTTTGATTTTTATGTTTTGGTACCAGGCCCCCCTCCAGGGGCTCTCTGGTTCGTATGAGACAGTGCACAACAACACCCCTGTGACACACCTGTGTCCTTCCCAGACGCTGGTGGCTTCCTGAGGTTCTGCAGATGGGCTAGGAGGTTCTCAGGTGGTCTCTTTCCACAGGTGTTCTCAAAGGGAGCACTCTGTGGCATCCTAGGGAATATTTGCACTTG